CGCCCAACTCATCATCCCGCCAACCTCACTATGGCATGCACCTGACGCGATATCGCGCCGGAATCATCCCCCCTTTCTCTGCGCTATCGCCTCGCAGTTCCGCCCACCGATACACAGCGCCAGTCCGCCTGCTGCCCCATTTGCTTTCACAGCGCCCGCGGCTTCTAACGCAGTCCAACCCGACCTCTTCGCCCGCGCCCGGCGCCCGCCCGCGTCCGGGTTCATCCGTCTTTGTATCACCCCGCCTTTGCTCTCACAGCGCCCGCCACCCACGCTGCGCTATCGTCCGCCTCGACAGTCTGCCAGCCTGTGAGGGACTTCGGAGGGAACCCGCTACTATACGATTCAACTAGTCTTTCGCCCCTATACCCAAGTCCGACGAACGATTTGCACCTTAGTATCGCTGCACGACTCCACCTTAGCGCCAAACCGCCCTCTGCCCTCTGCCCCACTGCGCTCCGACCACCGCCTTTACTTCGGGTCGCTCTCCGCTGTTGCCCGGCCTGCCCGTMCCCAGCACATCGCGTGGTCCGACAGCCCCCGCCGCTCCTGCTTTCCACCGTGTGGTCCGACAGCCCCCGATTCTCAGAAACTCTGGCTGTCGGACGACCCTCGTTTTTATAGCCTTTACCGGCGCCGAGGCCCCACACCAATCTACTCTGTATCATTTCAATTTTAACAGATGTCCCGAAGGACTTAGCCGCGGTGGTACCCCCACCTGTGGTTTCTTTTAAGATGTGAACTGCCAGTTGCGGTACCGCATCCCGAACGAAAACGGAACCGCAAATATCAATAGAAGTAATAAGCAATATAGAAAAAGCAAAGATAAAATAAATCATCATAAATAGAAATCCCTAAGCAGGGTGCGGGGACTACTAAGCCCCACCGTTCCTGTGGACCGGGCCTGTCGCCGCGTTTGTCAACAAAAACCAAAGGGGGATAGTCCCGTCGGGCCCTCAACCCCTCGGTTCTCTCTATAGCGCTCTGCCGCTGCTGCGCCGACACTCGCTGGCCTCGATCCCCAAACCTTAATAATAGTAGTCCAATAACGTAACCTATAGGGCTAAGCCCAAGCCTGAGACTGAGCCCCGCAGAATACCATACAAGGCAGTGCGGCGCGACGGTTTTGTCCAACAAAACCGGCTACGCGGCTCCCAGTGCCCGTGCCGGCTGGCTTATACCATGCCATAACTGCCCCGCGCGCCATCCTACGACACCCCGCTTACCGCACAAGGTCGTACCATCGTTGTCGATGTCGCCGTCGGGGTCGGTCTCCGCACGCGCGCTCGACTCGGTCAAATGTACCAATCAAAGAGAATATCCTTAATTCCTGCTTAATCAAAAATAAATAAATAATAATATCACCAAGCAAAATGACCGAGGTCCGAGCCGGCTACTATGATCAACAACAGAAAGGAATCACGCACGCCTTAAACCTGCGTGCTCACGCACTCGCTATTGTGGTCTACCACCCAGTCAACACAATTACAGACGCAGCCGCACTTAGCATGGTATACTTAAACTTTAAACCAAAACTGTTTTTCTATTACTTGCAAAACCAGGGCGGATACCCTTGTAAGGGTATTCGCGCCGACAGCTTACTGGACCATATTAAGCGACGTCCCCGTCGCTTCGCAAATCAGAAAGCTATAAATCCACTCACACTCCAAATGCTGACGAAACAGGAGCCGATCCGATTAGCCGAAAAACACAGGGAAGAGGCCTCCATCAAAACTTGTATCCACAACTATATGCTGCCAGGTTTGTAACCTGGGTCTTGCACCGCCCAGAAATTAGGACACTGACCGTTTAAGTTCCAAAGACCTTCCCAATCGTTCTCTCCCCGGTCCTATACAACCTTCGGCTTCTCGTTGGGTGTCCTTAGTCCTGGCAAAAACTAGGGACGCGGGTCTTAATCGAGACCTTTTGAAGGCACTCCCGCCTTCCTTCTCAAAATCTCTCGCAATCGAAAACACATACGTATATACTTAATATCCGCTCAGCTCTTTCTGCAGTCTAATACAGAAAGGCTAGGTCCCCACCTTGGCCCACCATAGCCTGGCTGATCGGACCAGGACCACGGCCCTCCGCATTGTTATTTAGCAGTTGTACCCTCGTTGGTTACGCAACGATAGGTTTTCTCCTGATAAGCATTCAAACAGGATTTCCCCCAAAAATTATCAACCATCACTATCTCGCGGAGTAATTTCGCTGGGGCGGGCACCCCCCTTTAAACTCTCACCCACGCGGTCCCACAGCCAGGTTGCGCCGGCTAGCAGCCATCTAATAGGGTTATGCCCTAGAGGTACTAACGTTTTTTTTCGTTAGCTTGGCCTTTCTTCAATATGTCTCAGAATTTGCACCAATTGTTAGGCGGGGGCGTCGCAAAACAAAACCACTGGCCCACTGCGCGATACGCAGGGGTCGGAAGACATTTACCAACTCTCCCTTAATAGGCATGGCATCCTGTACGCTTACAAACAAAATCACCGCTAAATCCACCAGGCCGTGACCCCTGACTTGATCAGAGCCAGCAGCCACTCACCCTGAGACATCTCTCACCCTGCACTCATTGCGACTTTCTCAAACATTCCAAACAAAAATGACTCTTTTCGTCAGACTTTATCACCCATCAAACAACTCGCCATGCCATAAATTAGTTTACTCACCTCTGAGGGTGAGTCTTCCAACCATAGACCATTCCCCTTTTCCAAAATCTAAGGGGCTCTCATCATAAATAAAACACCCCCTCTTCAAAAAATCACGAGGGGTCTCGCCACAGAACAAAACACTCCCTCTTCCAAAAATTACGAGGGGTCTTATCATAACCCACATTGTCACAAAAACATTCCCTTCTCTAAAATCCAAGGGGATTTATCATAAACAAAAATCACTGAGAGACCATCTTATGGGTCCTCATCACAACTTAGGCATTCAATAATCAACATGATAGTCATTTTGAGTCTCCTGGATTCATAAATCTTCAAAATCCTCACAACCTTTTAGAGACGGACTGCACTTCCTCCCCTTATACTCCACTCTATCAGCTGCCCGTGGGCAAGTCGCACAAGAATACCGAGGAGTAGACAGTTTTACTTACAATCATATTCACAATACCCAAGATACATCAAAGGTTTTTCACACATTGTCCACACAAACTCATTATACATCAGAGAACAACCACACATGTGAGAGAGACAAGTGATCGTCACATATAAGAATGGTTCCTGAAAGAAACCTCATCATGATATACACTCAGGGAAATAAAATGTCTCACCCAGAAAAAATTGTCTCGAAATCATAACTCACTCAGCTCAAACTACACCAAACCCACACTGACAACTACCCCTAGAATACATGTCAGATCTGTCTCTCAAAAGCCAGGGCGTAAGCCACCCGTAATATGTACATGCCTCGTCTAGATTACTCTGATCCTCAAGTTCCCAGCCCAGTGGGAACACTAGAGTTCAGATCTAGACTAGTAACAATCCTCATAAAAAGCCCTCTAGGTCTAAGAGGGTATCACACAGAACCTAAACTGATGCCTCACAAGATACTCGCCCACTTATATAGACAAACCGGCCCTACCTCTTCAACTCCTCCTGGTTTTGCCTATATAACTGAGCCTTGAGTCCATCTGCGGACTTCTCTACTATCCTACCCTGCCTATCATACATCTTACCCCCTGCCTCTGAGACCTTTCCTTCTGCCTTATCCTCAAGGAACTCGAGACAGTCCAGAGCATGATGCACGTCCCTCTTGCAGTAGAAACATAGTTGATCGACCTTCCTCTTGAACTTCTTCTTCTTGGGTTGAGGAGGTGGTGATGAGGGAGATCCTACCAAGGTACTGACTATCCCCTGCTGCTCTGTCCCAGGAGCTGCGGTACTAACGACCTCCTGCTGCTCCATTCCAGGAACCGGTCCCCGAGACCCAGATCCTGTAGCCCAAAATCCCAGTCTGCTCCTCAAATCCCCTGTCACCGGGACGTACTCAGGTGTGTCCAACCTCTGAGGTCTCTTCTTGAGTGTCTCTCCTGGCACTGCCATGGGCTGCTCCTCAATCTCCCCTGGCCCATACTCAGGCGTACCCATCCTCTGAAGCCTGCTCTCGATGGCACTCTCCGCCTCAATCCCTATCTCTCTCTCAAGAGGCTCCTCTATCCTCTGCTCAGGTGAAAACAAACTCACCTCCTCCTGCATAGTATGCACCGCCTCAAGGAGCACGTCCATGAATCCCTCTGCTGAGCCCTGAGCCGGCTCACTGCTAGATGGTGGCAGCCCCTCCTCTACTGCCAAAGGTACGACTGGGTCTGGCGCTGCCACTGGCAGCGTCGCGAGCTCAGTAGGGGCTCTAAACTCGAACGCCTCTTTCTCTGCCTGTCTCTGGGCTCTCGCCTCCTCTGGCTCCAGGATAACTCTCCCCATAGGTGGCTCTTGGCGAGGCCCTGCCGCAGAAGGCTGTCATGGCAAAACTTGTCCCGGCTGCCTCTGCTCTCCCTGTCTGCTGCTCTCTGACTTATCCACTTTTCCTTGGGTTTGCTGCCTCAGGCTCTCAATAATAGCTACCTGACTGGCCACCAATGCCCTGAGTTCCTGGATTTCCATCTCCATAGCCTCCAGGCGTACTCCATGGCTTGCTTCCTTTAATTTTTTTCCTGCCAGATTGCTCTCCAATAACAAGTGCCGGTCAAAGGTCGATTTGGCCAGGAACTTGATTTTGCGATCTATCCTCTCTTCCGCCTTCCTGGCCACCCCAAGCCCGACTCTGACTGGCGAAGGAAGCTCCTCTCCTCTCTGCTCCCAGAAGTCTCTCCACATCTCAGGGATCTCCGGGGCCCTACCTGGCGCGCTAAGTGGCTGACCTGGGAGTGCTCCTGCTGCCTCCGATCTCTGCCTTTCCTGTTGATGCTCCGGAAGCTCCCCCGCTGCCTCCAACCTCTGCCTCTCCTGCCATATCTCATCTATCCGTTTGGTTCTTCTCGCCCTCTTTTCTTCAGCCGTCTCTCCAGTTGGCGCCCTTTCCCTCGTGCGGAGGTCGACCCTCTTTGGGATCTCTGCTTCCATCTCCTTCTCGGGTTGGTACGGCTCCTGGCACGGCTCTGCAAGTGCTGGCTCCTCTTGGTCTGGATGCTCCAGGGCATAAGCTGCTAGGTGCCTATCAATCAGGGTCAAGGCCTCTCTCCTTACAACTGTTATTTCTCTCCTCCTACCGGCTCTCCCCTCTGGCGATAGAGCCCTCTCTGATGAAGGAAATGGGGCCTCCTCTTTCCGCAATCTCTCCTCTGCTTGACGAGTGCTCTCTGGTGCATCCCCGAGTCTCAAACCCACCACTGGCGTCTGTGGGGGCGTGTCCTCTCCAACCTCTATCACTTCCTTCCCTGCACGTCTCCCCCCGTCGCCCTGCCTGCTCTCTCGCTGAGTACCCTGCGCCTCCTCTCGTGGCACCTCCTCCCGTGGCACCTCCTCTCGTGGTACCTCCTCTCGTAGCACCTCCTCTTGTGGCTCCTTCTCTTGTGGCACCCTTTCTACTTGCTCTTCATGTTTCTCATCCTGAGGCGACGCTCTCCACTGAGAGATATCCAGATGCGTCTCCAACTCCCTCAACGACCCTGCAGACCCTGGCGGCTCCTCCCGTGTGTGTGCTGGTGATCTCCTCAATCCACCCTCAGTAAAACGATGGAACTCCACTGGTCCCAACCCATACTCAGGGTATGCCCTTCGCTCCTCAACCTCTGGCTCCCGCTCCGGCTCCTCCTCTCTCCTGGCTAGGGCCTTCCGTCCTCCCCGAGACGGTCTCGCCTCCCCGGGCTCAGGGTCTCTTAGCCTCAACTCCTCTGACGCTTCTCAACTCTGGGCTGAGGGGGCTCTGGTCGTCGAAAGGCCTCTCTCAGATGTGCCCTGCAGCTCTCCCAGTCTCGGGCCACGTCCCTGATCTGCGCAGCCAGTGCCCTCTCCGCCTTTCTGGTCCAGAGGGGTAACGTCCTCGCCCACTCATCTCTCGGTAAACCCTGCCCCTGCATGAACCACTCGAAGGCAGGGATGAAGTCCGACGCATTTCCAATCTCCAGGCGGATCGGCCTGCCATCAGGCCCCACAGGCGAGGGTCGCAACTCCTGCATCCTCCACTCCACCTCTGATCTCGTCGTCGCCTCTCTACGGATCCGCGCGATGGGCTCCTCAAATCTGCCTGCTCCCTCAATCTCTCAATCGCCTGAGCCACGGTCTAGCCCATACGACTCGCATGATCCCAAAAGCTGTCCAGGAATAGATCGATGTCCCCATCATTGTATACCGGAGTACTCTCTCGATGGCGAGGCCCATGTCGCTCATATCCTCCTGGTGCTCCCAACGGCCTCCGAGGCGGCCGTGTCCCCCTCCCTCCTCTTGGCATGGCTGTCTTCGTTAAGTCAGACCTTCTCAACAGGCGAAGGAGACAACAGACACACATTGGGTAAGCAAAACAGGTGATAATCAAGCAAACTTAGACCAGACCATACTCACACAGCATACATCCTACCTAGCCTACACAACCTGCTACTTCTATTCTAAAGGCAGTCAGGTCGTCTCTCTTACCTCTTCTCTCGCCACGACTTTCTTCAGTCGCGTTCCAGATACCCAATCCTTCCACTCAGTCCCATTTAGCTCCTCAATCTGATACGCTCCGAAGTCTCCGACCCGTACGATCCGGTAGGGACCTAACCACCTCTTATCGAGCTTCCTGGACCATTGCTTCTCCAGTGATGAATCGTAGAGAAGCACGACATCTCCAACTGCCAAGGGCACTTTCCTCACCCGCGCAGATTGATCCCATCGAGCCATATCGTCCATACGACTTCTCACCACCTGGTCAGACGCCTCCTGGATCCTTTCTTCTATCGCTCCTATATGTCGCGCCCGAATATCGAGCAATTCTTCAAATGACAGGTTAATTTCCAGATCCTGGCGCCTCCATTTCTTAAGAAAGCTCTCGATAGGGAAGGTGGCGTGCCTTCTATACCACAATGTCGCCGGTGCGTGCTTGGTGGATCTTTTTATTGTAATGTTGTCGACAAAGAACGCCGCCCTTAGGTATCTTGGCCATTGATTAGGCCTTTCTTCGGTCCACTTAGCCAGGAGACTCGTAATGGTACTATGTCCTCTCTCTACGGGAGCATTTGCCTGGGGGTGCGCGGCCGTGGTGTAGTTGGCTGCTACACCATACCTTGATAACAATTTTTGCACCTCCTGGCAGGTAAACTGCGATCCCCTGTCCATTACAAATTCCCTGACGAAAGGGTAACGCAGGTAATATTCCTCGATGCAGCTCACTAAGACTAACCCGGTCTTGGTGCGAATAGCACGCCCGTCTACGAACCCCGACAGGTTCTCGTGCGCATCGAAGATATAGTTATAGCCCTGATCCCCAAGTGGCATAAAAAGCAGATCGAGATGCCCTACGGCCCCCACCTCTCGCTCTAACCTTGGATGCAACGGCTCTCCTTGCCTTAAACGGGATCTCTCCTGGCAGGGCATGCAGGATCGACATAATTTTCCGACCATGTTCATCATTCCATCCCAGTAGTACAGCTCACTTATTCTGGCATACGTGGCTTGTACCCCTCGATGCCCTCCTGCAATGCCATCGTGAAGTACTGCTACGACGTCGATCTGACGATTCCTACCGCAGACGACCCTCCTGGGATTTTTCACTTCTCTTCTCACGAAAAGGTGGCCGTCTCGCACTAAGTAGCGCTGCAGCATCCTCTGAGCCCTATCGCTTGCATCCCTTAGCCGCATTTCACATGACAGAAGAAGCCCCTGTTCTAGGTAGATCCCGTAGTACTCCTCTGCACGAAAAACCTCCTTAATCTCCCCCTCCTCGAACTCGTCGTCCTGGCTCTCAGGCACTTCGTCCACATTTCCTGTCGAGTTCAACGAGCCTGACTGGTCGAGGCCTTCCTGCAATAACGTGTTGACGAGGAGATACATTCCTCCCATCAGGTCCTCATGCCGTTCTACCTGGCCAGGTCCTTCCTCAATCGTTCTCATGTCCTCCACCAGGCTATGCGAGCTGGCCAGCACTAGCTCCATCATCCACTGAATATCCTTACCGCCCAGGGATCTTCTTCCTCAAAGGGCTTAAGGAGAAGCACATTCCTCCTTTCATACCCCTTCGACGCTTGCCAGATAGGATAGCCTACACAGCTGGGCACTCGCAGCGACCATTTGTTGATATGAAGACGAACATCTTCTTCCTGATCCAGAAATCCATCAACTGGGGGCGTATTCTCCACCGCCTCCCCTTCCTGTTTATCCCAGTTGATCCGACTCAGCCCGTCCGCCCGGTTCTTACTACCAGGAATCCGTTCCAATTCGAAATTGAACATCCAGATGTACGTCAGCCATCTGGCAACTGTCGGATCCGATGGAACGTAATTCCTTAGAAAGTTGGCCAGGGCGGTTGGATCCACTCTCAAAATAAACCTCATGCGGAAGATATAGTCCCGCAAGATTTGCAGACAGTGGAGGACTGCAAAAGTCTCCCTCTTGAACTGAGAGTAGTTCCTCTCCATTGTACAGAGAGTCTGACTCTCAAATCGCAAGGGTCTTTCCTTTCCTTCCATGTCTGCCTGAATTAGAACTCCCCCTAAGGCAGTCGGTCCCTCATCCGTTTCGACAATGAAAGGTCACGTCTCTGTGGCGTTATAATCTGGCGCTCCTAACACCAACCCTCCTTCTCGAAATCCCTCCTTTATTTTTGCCACCACCTCTTCGTGTTCCTCACCCCATACCCATTCCTGATCCTGACGGACTAACTTCCTCAGGTGTTCAGTCTTAGCGGCGAAGTTCTTGACGAAGGCCCTCCAAAATCCACACGTACCAAGGAAGCTCCTGACATCAGTTATGGAGTGGAACGGAACTGGCCACTCAGTAATCTTGTCCGTCTTCTTCACATCCGGCCTTCGGCCCTTCTCATTGCAGACGATCCCTAAGATAATCGCTTCCCTCATGCAGTGTCTGCATTTGGCCCTGCTTGCCGTGAGGTTATGCTCTTCGAGCAGGCTCAGGACCTTTTCGAGGTCCTGGATGTGTTTCCAGACAAAGCGCCTTACCTCTGGTGAGACTTCGTCGCTCTCTTTCATCGCCGGCCCCTGCAAATCGTCAATGTATGGCTGTGTGATATGGGGGCTGACTGACTGCATGGCCCGAATCATGGCCCGTTGGACCATTGCTACTGCGTTGGTCCATCCTTGTGGGGCCACGTTCATGTGGACTAATCCTTGCGGCGTGTGCATAGCCGTCACCGGCCTATCCGGCGGGTAGACTGGGAACTGATCGTATTCTGAGTAAAGGTTTATAAGCAAAATTATAGGTCTTTGAGCACAGGATTCTGACAGTACATCTGCATTCGGCAGTCCTCCAGCATCTCGCACGGTCACTACATTCAGTCTTTGCAAATCCTGCACCCACCGCAGCGTCCCGTTAGGCTTAATAAAGCAGAACCACGGGGATGCATACAGTACACTTGAATAGTCGGCGACGTGAGTACGTATCTTGCCGTTGAGGTAATCCACCACCTTCCTTTCCTCGTCAGGATTGGGATATCGCGCCCCTCTCATGTTCCAAGGCTCGTGTGGCACGGTGTGGATGCGGATCATAGGTATTTTATCCACATCCAGCCTGCCACACTCCTCGTCACTAAACGCATAGGCGCGATGCTTCCTCTTTATTAATTCCAGGTTCGTTCCTGAGGCAACAGGAAATCAGACTCCCCTATGATCAACTCCTTCTCGTTCCCTTCGTTGATACGACATGGCCGTGCTAAAGCACTTTCCCTCATTCGTCGTATCAACCCTCGTTCCCTCTCGTAATATGCTTCCTCGTCCTCTGTAACGAGGACAGGTACCGGGCGGCACTTCTTGTCTACCGTCTTGTACCGCCTTTGGGAGCCCTGCTTGAGCCGTCCCCTAAAAAAGGCCGACTCACGGATTGTGTTTGCGCTGATGCGGGGTTCCCTCCGCTGCCTGGGAGCCGATATACCAATTTCATTCCAGAACTTGCTCCCTCAAGGCCTGGATGGTATCCGGATCTGCCATCTCATGCGCGGCCACCAGGTCCATGACCTTCCCAACATCTGACAGGTTGAGGGAAAATGCTTTCACCCTCTCTCCTGCTTCGGGCTCTTCCCAGAGCCTCCTGCGCTCCCCTTCCGACTCCTCGATTGTGAATGATCCTGGATTGGGCCGGTTCCATATGCTCCTTGGCCCGGTGTTCCTGCAAGTAATTATTTCATAATTCCCGCAGGCAGGATTGCATAAGAGGATGATCAACGTCCCATCATGTTTGTTGAACATCACGGTCTCTGTCCTACTTAGGAATGACCTCCCCAGGAGGATTCCATGGTCCACGTCCGGCAGTATGAAGAAGCATGCCCTGACCTTCACCTTTCCAACCTCGACGAGCACATTCAAGGGCTTCCCGCAAAACACGGCCTTACAGCTGGCTCCATGCAGAATACCGCAGTCAGAACAATCTATATCCAGCCCGAATCTGATCGCGTCCGCCTCCCGAATAATGTTCATCTCTGCCCCGGTGTCCACCATTGCTGCGCACTTGGAACCCTTCACCATCAAATCCACTGTACCGCAGACTACGCACGTCCAGTCCATCTTCGTACCTGACTCTGCCCACTCTGCCTCCTTGGGCAGGATCGTACCCAGATGGACATTGGGCAACAGGAGCCGTGATAACCTCCCCTTCAGTTCATTGCAGAGTCGTGGGGCTGACGCTAGGATTTCCTTCAGGGTCATGAGGTCATTATGCCCTTCCAGCAGCCGGTCAATCACCTTTTCTACGTCAAATCCCTCTTCCAACCGGACCGCGTATTTCTTCTTTTTGGGCGGTTCGTCATGTATAACCGGTTCGGCCTCTCCCTTGGTTCCCTTTTTCCTTGCCCGCTGCTCCGCTCTCTGATCATCTTCCCTGCGCAGCCTCTCGTCCTCTTCCTCTTCATCATCGTCGTCCTCTACTTCCACAACCTCTTTCCTTCTCCCTGGTTCGGGTTCCCTCCTTGGAGGCTCTTGGCTGACACTGGCCTTGGCTTGATTCCTCGTTCGTGCTGTCTGTGCCAGCCGGGCCTGCGGAGTGAGGGGTCTCCACCTCATTCCCGATTGTGGGCACGACCCCACCACATTTACTCCGGGTCGCCCAGGCGCTGACTCCGGGTTGGAGTTATAGAGGAATACTGTGGGGATGTTAGACCTCCAGCCCTTCACTTCTTTACAGAGGCCCACCAACTTCTGTTGGTACCTCCCCATCTTATCCAGCAAGTCCTCCATCTTCTCAAATAAGACGGACGGAGGCTCCGTTCTTTCCTCCTCATCCTCGTCATCTTACTCGATGATTATGGCCTCTTCCGTCTCACTTCCTCCTCGTAGCCCTTGAGTCACTTCCTCATCGCTTCCCGCTTCTTCCACCCCAATCGGTGGTTCCTCCTTTTCCTGCTATAGCCTGAACATGGCAGGGGGTGGCGGCCCAGCTGCCGCTCTTCGTTGGGCTTCAGCCCTCACTCCTCCAAGCCTTCTGTCAATGGCCTCCCCAAATTGATCGTAGATATTCCCATCCATAGTAGAGAAAATCAGTCCACTTCTCTCGTCTTCCCGTCTTATATTACAGAACCTTATAGTGTGGCCTTGCTGGTCACAATGTTGACAGATGGCCGTCCTCCAGTCAAAACGGGGTCTTCCATACCCCTGACTTCCCTGATCCCCCTGGCCTTGATACCCCTGGCCTTGACTCCCTTGGCTTTGGTACCCCTGGCCTTGACTCCCTTGGCCTTGGTACCCTTGGCCTTGATCATTCCATTGCCTTCCTCTTCCGCCGCTATTCCTGCCTCGCCCCCTTCCTCCACCCCTCTCTCTGTTGCCTTGATTGCCTTGCCCCTGGTTCCCACCTCCTACAACACTGCCCTGTGAACTGGGATCCGGTGACGGTGGCGGGGCCACAGGTTGGGCCTGGGCCGCGGGGTAGATGGGTGGTGGCATACTCGTTTGCGGTCCAGCTACTGGCGGCGGGCTTCCCCATGACACAATTGCATTGATCACCGGCCAAGGCCACTGTCCGTAGGAGGGCACCCCACCTTGCGAGGGGCCCGTAGATGATGGAGCCGCACATTTAAAGAGGCTGCTGCCTGGGCCTGAGGCGCCTGCGGTTTTCCTGATCCCTGTCCGCCCTACGTCAAATTACACACTTTGCGCTGGACCTTCGTCAGGTGCTGCGGCACCGGCTCTTCCTCTTCCCAGAGCTCCTCCTGAACAGCCTCCTCTATCACTGGCTTTTTTCCTTTTACTTTGACAGTCGTCACCACCCTCCTTTGCACCACCGGCTCTGTCGCATTCCCTAACTATGCCAATACGTCTGTAACAATCCTTGTTACCCCCGGCGCGGTAATACGCCTTTATCGAACCCGCACGCGAATCGGCATCTTGGGGGGGTTGAGGTCCCAATCGCGACCCGTCGTCGGCCGACTAGGACGAATCCCACACACCACGCGCACTCCTCTTTACGAATACACATGCACACAAAACAACACATATACGAGACGACACAACAGAAACAACGCGACAACACTCCTAACCCCTTGGTAGCCAACCCATAACTTTCCAACGCGGAAATCGAATAGGCGTCGCGCGCGAGACTAGGTATAAAACCGCGCGGACGCAGGGCTATCGCATATCAACTCGCAAATGCGATTGTACGCAAGCAGTCGCAATGATGGCGTACTATGTAGTGCCCATCATCAAGCAGCCCCTCGTGAAATCGAGTATCGCTTATGACACTCGAGTGTCTGACTTGAAGTGTCCTGAGGGCCTAACCCTTCATGACATTGCACGGCCGAAGGAATAGCCGTGCAACCGCTGCGATACCTTTGGCTCTTGGCCTGAGTATCTCGGTAGGCAAATCAAATAGGCTCTGCGCGAGGGAAAACCCCTCCCTTGCAGAGCCTAGGGCTTGGGGTGTCCTGGACAAGGACCTCGAATCCCGACCCAGGACCAAACGTCCGACTAAGAAAATCATAAAAAAACAGGGACAAATATAGAAGTAGGGGCGTCCCCTAAGTTCCTCA